TCTTGAACACAAACACCGGCTTGAATTTTTTTGCACAAAAATCAAGCGTCATAAGACACAGAGCTGCCACACACATATGACTAAACTTCCCTTTTCACTATTGCGATTATTTGATATTTCAGACAGAAGAATTTCATTGAAACAATTTAAACAACACTTTCTGAACATTAATCGTATCATTTACCCAACAATTACGCCAAGAAATTTTTTTGTGACAAGTTTTTATATTTATTGACATTTTAAGTGGTGGGGTTGGCAGTAAGTGTCACCAATCGTCGATTAATTATTCGAAAACCCCACTTTGGGGCTTGTTGATGTGAATAACGCCCCAATCGTGTTTTCTGTGTTGAAAAATGCGCCAGGAGAGGTGAGTTTTAGTGTTTTGTTGCGAGTTTGGTGTTTTCGTGCGGTGTGGTTGGCAGTAGTTGGTTTCTGTCAAGTGTGAGATGGGTGTTCGAGGGCTATTTCCGCTCGTAAATTGTCCAATTTCGCAAAAATTCGCCGATTTTTCTTGCAAGCGACACAAAAAGCCGAAACGCATTGTTTGATACACCACGAAATCGGGGTATTCGTCGAAACTTTGCGAAAAAGTGCCACTTTGACAGTGTCATCTGGCGGTTTTGGGTGCAATTGCACATTAAGCACACGTGAATTTCGAGGTTGAGGTCGTTTTGTGCTAATTTCGGCCGTTTTTTCACCAATATGGAATCGTGGGGTAAAAATTTTGGTTTGTTTTTGATCGCGGGGAATTTTACAAGGGGGCTGTTTCAGACGACGACAATTTCGAGCCCCCAGCTGTTACACCTGGGATTGCGGCCAACAAATGGGAGGGCGAGGACGAGGACGACAACGTCAAGGTAAAACCCCCGAGTTTGTCACCAAAAAGTCACCATTTTCCTTGCAGGAGAGCTGGGAGGACGAGGAGGAGGAGAAAGTGGAGGCGGCGCCTGTGGAGGAGCCCAAACCCAAGCCCAAAAAACCCTCAATCGCTGAGAAAATCGCAGAGAAAGAAGTGAGTTTCACGGGTGTGGGGGCACAATTTAATTTCTTGTTGCAGAGGAAGAGGAAAGAGGAGCTTGAGAGGAGGATGAGGGAGCAGGAGGAGGAGATTTCCCCCGAGGAGAGGCTCAGGATGCAGAAGGAATCGGACCTGAAAATAGCGCTAGAAACGACGTTTGGGGGCGACACCAACAACACAAATGTTTCAGGTTTAGAGGGACTCTCGCTGCCAACCACTAAAGAGGAGTTTCAGGATTTTACAGACGCTCTCTCGAGGAAACTGCAACCTTTAGCTAAAAGCACGGAATATCCGGTTTTTACCGAAAATTTACTACGAAATCTGTGTGCCACTTGTATGTTTTTTGTTCGAGTCTTAATTGACCTAATTGGTGGTTTTGCAGTGTCCTCATTAGATATTAAGAAAATTAAAAATACGTTAGATAATTTATATTTAGAGAAACAGAAAATCGAAAAAGGGGAGAAATCAAAGAAAAACAAGGGCAAAGGCAAGGCCAAATTACGACTGGATGACGGAAATGTAAGTTATAATTTTACGTAAAGTTTGTTTGAATTGTGTTTTTCAGCCCTTGTCGGCGTATGTTAACGAATATGACGATTACGACGACTTCATGTAGCAGATTGAAGAGATTTAGATAGGGTTTTAATTTTTTTTTAAATCTTCAATAAATATAACTATTGTTAAATTATATGGTATTTTTAAAGAGGTGTAGTGTAATGATCATGCAATATGGTTAACAATTTATACTTTTTTTTCACCGTTTTTGTGTTTTTCTATACTAATGTAACGAGTCATTATTTAAATTAATGATTTGCTGGTTTTTGTTGCTACGCTTTAAGGCGAATTATTGTATGGATTTGCATACAAGTTGTATTCATGGATTTGATGCAATTATTGTTAATATCAATATAATTTTTCAAAAAACTAATGCGTTTTATTAAAACAAGAGTTTCAAAATAAAAAAATCAAGTGTCATGAGACACAGGACCGCCACACATATATAGCTAAAATCCCTTTCCAGTGTTTCAATTAGTGAAATTTCAGTCACAATTTCTTTTTAAACAACACTTTTTGAAGACTCCTTGTGTCATTTTATCAATAATTACGCTTAACAAATAATTTTTGTTGGTATTCCTGACCTGAGTTTCCACAACACGAGCATTATTTCTGTTGTAAAAGTGGGAAAACATTGTTGATTACCTTAAAAACAGCCTCAAACACTTTTAAAACACGAATTATTTAAATTATCACAGATTTTAAATAATTTTTTCGTAAAAACAAACACCGGCTTATTGTCACAAAAATCAAGCGTCATAAGACACAAGGCTGCCACACACATATGACTAAACTTCCCTTTTCCCTGTCGCAATTATTCAATTTCAGTCACAATTTCTTTAAAAAAAATTAAATAACACTTTTTGAAGTCTTTTTGTGCCATTTTTCCAATAATTACGCCAAAAATTGCTTAAAAAAGTTATTGTTGTTGGAACCATGGCATCCCTGACCTGAGATTCACAATCCGAGCATTATTTTTGTTGTAAAAGTGGAAAAACATTGTTGATTACCTTAAAAACAGCCTTAAGCACTTTTGAAACTCGAATTATTTAAATTATTACAGATTTTAAACAACTTTTTCGTGAACACAAACACCGGCTTGAATTTTTTTGCACAAAAATCAAGCGTCATAAGACACAGAGCTGCCACACACATATGAGTAAACTTCCCTTTTCACTATTGCGATTATTTGAAATTTCAGGCAGAATTTCATTGAAACAACTTAAACAACACTTTCTGAACATTAATCGGATCATTTACCCAACAATTACGCCAAAAAAAATTTTTGTGACAAGTTTTTAATCAAGTCTCATAACACGAACACTATTTTTTAGTAAAAGTTACAAAACATCACGGATTATCTTAAAAACAGCTTCAAAAACACAAATTATTTAAATTATCAGATTTTCAACACAACACCGGCTTGAATTTTTTGTCACAAAAATCAAGTGTCATAAGACACAGAGTTGCCACCCCACATTACTAAAACCCCATTTTTGGCTTGAAATTTATTTATTTATTACACAACAAACGCAAAATCTGTTTTTGAACCCCTCGTGTGCATCTTTCGCCTATTATTCGATTAATTACGCCAATAAAAATATTTTTCAGTCTTGTTAACGAAATCCCCTAGTTTTGGTGTGGCAGCACTGCCGTTGAAAAATTTCAAATCGTGCTCATTTAGGTTAGAAAATCCGAAAATCCACGCTAAATGTTCAATTTTTCTCGGTTTTTAGGCCACAATGTACCAAATCCTGGTGGTCCCCTGCCTCGGCGAGGTTTCCCCCTTGAAATTCAACGTTTTCCTGTCTTCCGTCTCCGGAGTGGCTTTCTTCACCGCTTGGTGGCTCCTTGTGGGGCTCCTCGCCGAAAACCTGCTCTACTATCACGAGTTTTTCCCCGTTTTCTTCTCCACCATGGCCCTCGTCCTCATCAACATGATCCCCACAAGTCTCATCCTGGAGCCCCAATTGCACTACACGACGAAATGCGGCAGTCTCATGGCCCGAACCTGTCTTTTCATCGGTTTTATGATAGCCTTCGGGGCCCTAATCGGCGCCACCTACATCCTAATAAACAACTACATTTTAGACACAACAGAGTTGAACAAGTGGCCCGGTTGGAGCGTTTTTTTGCAAAATTTGCTCGTTTTTAGCGCCACTCTTTTGCTAAGATGTCGAAAATCGCTTGAGTATTTTTAATAAGACGATTAAAAAGTGATCAGTGTGAAATTGAGTCATTTTTGGGGCCGTAAACCGTCATTATTTAACGGTTAGTGATGTGTTACAAAAACAGGAGATTATCGTGAAGGCTGAGTGCAATTATCCACTTGTTTTCTCTCAAATCAAAGCAATTACCATTTTCTTGTATGGGAGTTATAAAGATATCTTTATTACCGGTCGAGGTTTATGATTATGTTAAATTGTTTTCGATACAAACTGGTTCAAAGACCAGGGAAAAACTCGATGGGGGCTTATCTCACTCGAGAATCGACGACTGCATTTAAACTACTAATGGAAGTCGAGATTTTATCGCTTTGATGCTTTTTAACGCGACGAAACGTTTGTCTTATTGTATATCACTTTTTGTTTCGTAATGTTGGTAATTGTAGTAATTACAATAAATTTACATATTTTCCCACAAATCGTTATAAATCACTCATTAATATTATATAGGGTGTGTCAAAACTTGCGCAAGAACATGGAAAAAATTCTTTCTGTCAAAAAAATTTGACATTTGATTTTTTTATGTCTCTGAGGGGCGAGTTATGGCTCATTCTGTAGATAATCCGTAATTAAAAACGTTCATCGCCAAAACAGTCGATGAATAAAAACGAAATTTACCAAAATAGGAATAAAAAGTATAAAACAAAACGTTGCAACACTAACACCGTGCATGAGTAAAATTGGTCAAAACTAAATGATAAAATAGTAATCTACCGTGTCGGTAATGGTAGTAATTGCAATAAATTTACATATTTTCCCACAAATCGTTATAAATCACTCATTAATATTATACAGGATGTCAAAACTTGCGCTCCATTAAAAAATTTCAACCAAGAACATGGAAAAAATGTTACAAAAATTCAATCTGTCAAAAAAWTTTGACATTTATTTTTTGACATTAGAATTTTTTATGTTTCTGARGCGCGAGTTATGGGGTATTCTTGGACAATAATTATTAAAAACGTTCATCGTCAAAACAGTCGATTAATAAAAACGAAATTTACCAAAATAGGAATAAAAAGTATAAAACAAAACGTTGCAACACTAAAACCGTGCATGAGTAAAACTGGTCAAAACTAAATGATAAAATAGTAATCTATCGTGTCGGTAATGGTAGTAATTGCAATAAATTTACATTTTTTCCCACAAATCGTTATAAATCACTCATTAATATTATACAGGATGTCAAAACTTGCGCTCCATTAAAAAATTTCAACCAAGAACATGGAAAAAATGTTACAAAAATTCAATCTGTCAAAAAAATTTGACATTTATTTTTTGACATTAGAATTTTTTATGTCTCTGAGGCGCGAGTTATGGGGTATTCTTGGACAATAATTATTAAAAACGTTCATCGTCAAAACAGTCGATTAATAAAAACGAAATTTACCAAAATAGGAATAAAAAGTATAAAACAAAACGTTGCAACACTAAAACCGTGCATGAGTAAAATTGGTCAAAACTAAATGATAAAATAGTAATCTACCGTGTCGGTAATGGTAGTAATTGCAATAAATTTACATTTTTTCCCACAAATCGTTATAAATCACTCATTAATATTATACAGGGTGTCAAAACTTGCGCTCCATTAAAAAATTTCAACCAAGAACATGGAAAAAATGTTACAAAAATTCAATCTGTCAAAAAAATTTGACATTTATTTTTTGACATTAGAATTTTTTATGTCTCTGAGGCGCGAGTTATGGGGTATTCTTGGACAATAATTATTAAAAACGTTCATCGTCAAAACAGTCGATTAATAAAAACGAAATTTACCAAAATAGGAATAAAAAGTATAAAACAAAACGTTGCAACACTAACACCGTGCATGAGTAAAATTGGTCAAAACTAAATGATAAAATAGTAATCTACCGTGTCGGTAATGGTAGTAATTGCAATAAATTTACATATTTTCCCACAAATCGTTATAAATCACTCATTAATATTATACAGGATGTCAAAACTTGCGCTCCATTAAAAAATTTCAACCAAGAACATGGAAAAAATGTTACAAAAATTCAATCTGTCAAAAAAATTTGACATTTATTTTTTGACATTAGAATTTTTTATGTYTCTGAGGCGCGAGTTATGGGGTATTCTTGGACAATAATTATTAAAAACGTTCATCGTCAAAACAGTCGATAAATAAAAACGAAATTTACCAAAATAGGAATAAAAAGTATAAAACAAAACGTTGCAACACTAAAACCGTGCATGAGTAAAACTGGTCAACACTAAATTGATAAAATAGTAATCTACCGTGTCGGTAATGCTTAAGTAGGCATAGTATAGTATAGTAAATTTCAAAATACCGATTTTTATAATATCGAAATCACATTTTTTTAAAATTGGCCCTTTTGTTAAATTGGCAATCTAACCTCAAAATAAGATATTAATTAATTCTTTAGTCTTAATCAGTGACTTCTTCAAACATTAAATGAAAATGTAACTTTCGGTGTTTCTATTCTTCGTTTGACTGAAGATTTCGGTATTTGTTAGTGTTCTAATAAAAAAAAATAATAATGTTACATAAAATCTTTACTTATTTTCCTCCTATACTATGTAGAAGTATATCACCAACCACTGTATCAAATATCGAAAGTATTTGTTATTCATAGAATATTTTGTCTACTACCATGCCGGACAAAAAATGGGACGTAAAAACTTTGACTACTGTTCACCAGAGGGCAACGTAAGAAGTACTCTTTTAATGAAAAAATACAATGTGATCATTTCATTTATCGCAAAGTTGGCAGCACTTAGCCCGCCACCTCTAGTGTCAAACTTAGTCGCAAAAATAATTAAATTGTGTCAACAGTTGTGACAGGCGTAATAGATTTTTTAATTTGATATATGAAGTACTTTAACCCAACTTTTTCAGTATTGTTATTTTTGATAGATATGTACAGTTGCGGAATTAAAATTTCGGGCAGTATTTTTCTGTCACTTCACTACCTTTTATTGTCATCATGATTGACATTTGACAATTAAACTTTTCTGTCAGTACGCTATTTTTGAAAGTAAATAAGAAGTCAAAATGACAAAAACATGACAAGAGTAACAAATGAGGTTATTAATGTAAAGGTTGTTTTAGAGTTTACATTATGAAAATGACAATACTGCCCGAAATTTTAATTCCGTAACTGTACCTAAAAAACAATTGTATTTTTAAAGTCGGTTTTGCACAACTCATTTTTTGCAAATTTACACTGGAAAGTAGCCACTATGAATTAATGTTAGATAATTTTCTAAATTGCAAAAATAGACCACAAATAAACAAAAATTATATTTTATTATTATGATATCATGTGTTTGTTAAAAAATCGCAGTAGGCGAACATATGTCGTCGTACGTCTCGTACACCAATCTGTCACGTTCACAACTGAAATGAATTAATCAAAGACGTACAAAATATTTGTCAAAACACTTCGGAACTGTGGCGACATCTAGGAGTTGTTGAATTAAAGTTTTACCGACATGGTAGATTACTATTTTAGCTGCAATGGTAACCAATGCACGGTTATATTGATGAACGGTTTAGGGATTTATTTTTTGACATTGCAACGTTTGTTTTTTTTTTTCATTTTGGAATAAATGAAATTTTTTAGTAGATTTCGTTTCAATTTGTTTACTGTTTTGATAATGAACGTTTTTGTTCATCACCCAATCGCATCCACATTCTTTCCATTTAATTAACCCTTTTATCGCTTGTTTGTAAAACGGCTAAAATTCACCAATTCTGACACTTAATCCTCAAATAAAAAAATTACAGTTGGCACCCCCTACGAGTTATTAATTAATTCCAATTTTGACAAAATTAAATTACAGTTTTGTGTTATTATTCAATTGCATTTTTTGGGTTGGTAGTGCCCAATGTGTGACATTAATGACATCTGTCATCGCAAAAAGTCGAATGAGAGCCGTTCTGTTGGAACAACGGCCCAGCCGGCCGTTGTTCCAACGGAAACATAGAATTGAGCGTTGCCGTGTCGAGTTTTCCCTGCCGTGAACAGTCGCTCTGCGGAGGTCTCTAGTCTACCATGTGCTACAAGGATGCGCCCCGCGCCCCTCTCCGAATTAGCGCTGCTTAATTAGACAAACGGCCGATAAGGCAGAAATCGATTTTTGGACAAAACGTCAAATTTTGACAATTAAAACCATGGCAACGGCAAGGGCGCGACAATTTAAAGTGTGAAAAAAGTCGGAATTACAATGTAACAAACTGAGCTCAAACCGTAATGATATTTAATATTCTGGTGAGCTGCGTTCGCCGAGGATTCCATTATACCACGTAATCCAATCTAAATAGTGTTGGGAGTCTCGTTTGACACTCGTTTCGACCAATGACGAGAAATTATGAACTTATCTTGTAGCACTTTTTTATAAAGAATCCGAAATTCAAACAAAATACAGGCTGTTCAATTTGAAAAAATGCAAGTTTGGGGGGTAACACAGTTACAAAACACTCGGTATATACCAAATTGTTCGCAAAATGTGGCCCAAGTAGTGCTCTCCAACGTTGCCAAAACGATTTTGTGCCATTTTTTCAAACAAGAGCACAATTCGCATTTTCGCAAAAATTGGGACACCCTGTATGACGAATAATTCGATTTTGGGTACTAAAATGGCCATTAAAGCACTCGTTTGAGTGTATAGAATTTTATTGTTTTAAGGTTGGCACCAAAACTAGTGCTGTAATAGATAATTACTTCAATTTTCACGTCATTATTATTTGAGTGCTGAAATGACTATTAAAGCACTCGTTTCTGTAGCTACTGTCAAATTACTATGTTAGTGGGGAAATTTGAAAAAATGCAAGTTTAGGCTGTAACACAGTACAAAACACTCGGTATATACCAAATTGTATGCAAAATGTGGCCCAAGCAGTGCTCTCCAACGTTGCCAAAACGATTTTGTGCCATTTTTTCAAACAAGAGCACAATTCGCATTTTCGCAAAAATTGGGACACCCTGTATGACGAATAATTTTGAGTACTAAAATGGCCATTAAAGCACTCGTTTGAGTGTAAAGAATTTTATTGTTTTAAGGTTGGCACCAAAACTAGTGCTGTAATAGATAATTACAGATTTGTCAACAAGAATTGAACTTTTAGGAAAATTACGTTTTTCATGTTGTTTGTAACTAGAATTTTTAGAAGTAGTTTTGTATGTCTAAGGTTTGTTACTCCTTGTTGTTGTCAGTTGATGTTTTCTGTCAACCTGCTGTCAACTATCAATTAAATTATTTATACTTAACCTAAATTTTGACACTATATATCTTTTGTTTGTCACCAGAAACCAACTTAACCAAATTTATGGCAACCTATTCACAAATATTCCTAAATCCTAGGGAGTAATCTCTTGTTGATACAATACTTGAATTTCACGTCATTATTATTTGAGTGCTGAAATGACTATTAAAGCACTCGTTTCTATAGCGACTGTCAAATTACTATGTTAGTGGGGAAAAAGTCTGATTTCCTCGTTTGCAAAATATGTAATAAATACTTGAAACGTTTCCCTGTTATGTTGGTACTCTGCAATTTGTGCCTTTGAAAGCACCTCTTGCTAATGGATGAGTTCGATTTCAATTACTCGAACAAGACATGCTATCTAGATGCAACTCTTGAAGTCACGTGATTGAACCATATGGGCAAATTTGACAAATTACACTACGATTATGTTTTGTTTTTCCATAAAACGTACATTATTTATCGATGTAATAAAATTTAATTGCCATTTGACTTTGGGGTGATTCCGCGCGTTAGGTTGGCAATGACAGTCAAAATCGAATCATGTTGTGTTTGATGATTTACTTACTCGAAACAGAGGAGAGATAATGAACGTGGAAAGGCCATTAATTAGCAATTTTTATTAATTAAATTGTCGAACCACGCACACACCTCTATTGATACACGCCTCAAACACTCGAAAATCAAGTGGTTATTAATTTAATCTTGAGAGGGTTTGAGATGAGTGTCCCAATTCCTGAAATTCGAATCATTTCGAAGCCACCCAGTATGACTCCCCCTCCCCCTCGCCCATCTCGAATCGCTTTGTTGGTCGTTCGGTCGTTTCCGCTGGTGTTCGTGTCGTTTCCGAGCGGCGATCCGCTAGTTCGCCGCCTTGTCTCTGTGGCGAACAGTGTGTGTGTGCGGTGCCAACTGTAAAAAATCAAGAAAATCGTCGATTTGGGTTGTTTTTGGGCGATGGGCAGTGTGGAGTGTGTTGTAGGTGTGCATTGTGTGTGTTGTTAGTGGTCGTGTAGTGCCCTTTGGGATTACTAGTGTGTTTTTTCGGCGGGATTTGGCAGTCCTGGTGAGTGTGAACCACGCCTAATATCGCGATTTTCTTTTGTCCGACGAGGAGGAAGACGTCTCGCACATCTTCAACTGACGCCTGCTTCCGGACACGTTAATAGAGGTTGTCTCGCTCGGGAGTGGAGATAACGATAGTTCGTGCTCTCTCTTGTCGGTAAACAAGCGTCGGTCGATGGGGAAGCCATTTTGTTGCTGGGTTTTTCGAAAATACACAGACGGCCAACACGACAAAAACAAAAACACTAAGTTACTTGTCGTTTCATTAATATTTATCGTTAATGCGCGAGTTGGCCACGACACGCCCTTGGAGACGCTATTTTGACTAAAACAAAATTAGTGTTTTTTTTTTAGGGGATTTTGTTTTTACTTGATGATTGTGTAATTAATTGCTTCCTCGTGTTTATGTAATTAAGTTATTTACAATGACTGTTATTATCGGACGCACTCAAGTAATAAAATGACAATAAAACGAGGTTTATTTTTGAACTGTCAAATTTTGATGTGGCGCCAAATTTGAATTTGATTGAACAAGGCCGAACGTATTTATACAGGTGTTGCCAACAACATGAAAAAATCATGTCTGGAAGTTGGTAAATTTGTTTTGTGTGTTTTTTGTTGTGGTATGCTTTGTGAAAAGAGCCAACTGTGTTTATTATTTTTTTTAGAAAATGTTCCAAGATTTGTTTTTCTTTTTCCACAATATCGATTCCTGCAAGTGCATAATTGATGTTTCAACGTATAATTTGTCAAGTTAATTATTAATGGGCTATTCCACCCACGTTGTGACAGTTAAAAAGTTTTATTACCTTCTAACAATTTAATCACTCATGTTAACAGTTTATAAATCTGTGTGTATTAATAAAATAAATAATTAAATTCGTGTCACGGTTCAAGTTTGCGAACATCTAAATTGCAAATAATGCGAAAACGCCCAAGGAACGAATAAATTATCGCTAGAAAGGGGAATTTTTGCTTAACAAAACAATTTTTTTAGTGATTTTTAGTACGATTGGTAGCACTGACGTTTCTAAAAAAAGGCACGGTGACATTGCTACCAAGCTATAAACAATGACATGTCAAACGAGTGCTTTAATAGCCACCATTTTAGCACTAAAATTTAGGCTCAATAGAAGATTGGTAGCACTGACGTGTCAGGTGACATTCTACTAAGCTTTAAACCGTGAAGTCCTGTAATATCAAATGTCAAACGAGTGTGCTTAGTACAGTTGACGTTTCTAAAAAAAGCCGTACGGTAACATTGCCGCCAAGCTTTAAACAATGAAAACCCTATAGTCTCAAATGTCAAACGAGTGCTTTAATAGCTGCCATTTTATCACACGGATTCGGCCTTAATAAAAGATTTTTGGAGTAGTTTTTATTACGGTTGGTAGCATTGACACACACGGTAACATTGCTACTAAACTTCAAAAAATGAGATCCTATAACCTCAAATGTCAAAACAGTGCTTTAATAGTCGCCATTTTAGCACTCGAATTCAAGCTCAGCATATTTTTTTTTTGTATGGTTGGTAGCACTAACGTGTGTAAAGAGGGACGCAATGAAATTCTATAACTTCAAATGTCAAACCAGTGCTTTAATAGCCGCCATTTTAACACTTAAATTTGGGCTTAATAGAGGATTTTTGTGGTAATTTTTAGTACGGTTGGTAGTACTGACGCTTCTAAAAAAGATGACATTGCTGTCAAGTTTTAAACAATGAGATGTCAAACGAGTGCTTTAATAGCCGCTAGTTTAGCACCTGAATTTGGGCCCAATAGAGGATTTTTGTGATTTTTAGTACGGTTGGTAACAGTGACGTTTCTGAAAAAAGGCGCATAGCACATTGCTACCAAGCTTCAAAAACTGAAATTCACTAGCTTCAAATATAAAACGAGTGTTTTAATTGTCGCCATTTTAGCACTCGAATTCGTTTGTGCTTCGGTTTTTGATAAATGTCAAAACTAGATTGCTTGGTTGGTAGCACTGACGTTTTTAAAAAGGGCCTCGCGATAACTATTGCTACCAAGCTTTAAAAAATGTCAAACGAGTGCTGTAATAGTCGCCATTTCAGTTACTCGAATTCGGGCCCAATAGAATTTATTTTTTTTTCGTAATTTTTAATACGATTGGTAGCACTGACGTGTTTAAAAAAAGTCCGTATGGTGACATTGCTACCAAGCTTTAAAAGATGAAATTCTACAAGTTCAAATGTCAAACGGTTGTGTTAATAGCCGCCATTTTAGTTGTGTTTCGGTTTTTGACATATGTCTTGAATAAATTGCTTGGTTGGTAGCACTGACGTTTCTGTAAAAAGGCACGCGGTACATTGCTACCAAGCTTTAAAAAATGAAATCCTCTTGTTTCAAATATCAAACAAATGTTCTAATATCGCCATTTTAGCACTCAAATTTTTGACAAATGTCTTGATTGGTGGCACTGACGTTTTTAAAAAGAGCCGCGCCTTAACATTGCTGCCAAACTTTAAAAAATTAAATCTTCTAGCTTCAAATGACAAACGAGTGCTTTAATAGCCGCCATTTTAGAATATATAGAATTTTTTTTAGTAAATTTTAATACGATTGGTATTATAAAAAAATGCCGTGTGGTGACATTGCTACCAAGCTTTAAAAAAAAAACTGCAAGTTCAAATGTCAAACGAGTGTTTTAATAGTCGCCATTTTAGTTGTGCTAATTGCTTGGTTGGTAGCACTGACATTTTGTGATAACTTTGCTGCCAAATTTAATAAATGAAATCCTCTAGATTTAAGTGCCAAACGAGTGCTTTAATAGCCGCCATTTTAGCACTCGGAATTCATGTGTTGCTTGATTTCAATTTTCCACTTGTCGCCCTTTTGCCTGAGTCAGTGATTCCCCCAATCGTCAAAGACAATCACCTGTTTCACTTTCCTAATTGAATGTTTCGGTTTAACCCATCAACACGTAATTATCAAAGTTCAAAGCCGACTTCGATAATCTCAATTTCGTCGCTTCGCAGGTGCGAAAATACTAGGAATTTTTTGCTTTCTAATTTGAAAAGCCTAGAAGGTAAATAGTGCGATTCCTGTCTAATGATAGTAATTGTGTTAAAAGCTTTGAGGTAAAAATCCGATGATCAACGTTTTTTTTTTCATTTCATTGTTTGTTATTTCGGTTATATCGAGTTAATAATTATTATAATGATGGAATTAAATTGTTAGTCGAAAGTAAGCTAATGTTGTGCACAATGACAAGTTAATCTCGACGTAATTAATGGTTGGATAATTTTCTCTCTCTCTCTCTATCATGGGACGTAATTAGCGGTTGTGGTATAATGGGAAACGTCATGTTGGTAGTGTGGTGTACCACGCCTTGCGATATTTTAATTAGAGAGACGAATTTACGCCAAAACTACATTCCGCGAATAAGTGAGTGATTTATAAAAGGTAATGAGGCGATGGGTGTGTTGCCTTGACCCCAATGGGGCCATTTATTGCGATGTTACTGCAAGGGTTGCAGGTTCGAACCCGGGTTGGGCCACTTTTTTTTCGTTTTTAGAACAATGTTTTTTTTTCTTTTTTCTAAATTTGAAACGTAGTTACATCATCTATAAAGACTTTTATAGATTTTTTGACTAAAAAAAGTATTATTTATAGTAAAAATTATGTAACTGACTCTAATACGGTAGGTAACGCTTTTGATACAATATTGGAGCAATTTATTCAAAATTTGGAGGTTCGAATCCAGATCAAAGCAATTTTTTTCCGTTTATAAGACTAATTATATAAAAAAGTGATCAAAACAATGTCGTTTTGAATTTAGTTTGGTAATTTAGCCCATCTGATACAAAATTAGAAAATAAAATACAAAAATCGCAGGTTCGAAGCCGGGTCGCGACAATTTTTTTTTTTGTTTTTAAAGTAATCAAAAATGTGCTAAATGATACGCCAGTTTTTAAATTAGGGTCACAGTAGCCTGTGATTTTGAAATTAAGTTGGCAACATTGAAAAATGTGGAAACAGACAAGAGAACGTAGATTTTATATCTTCTGTCTTTGTTTTACGAATTACAGACCACTTTGATCAGATTTTAAAATAGTTGTGATGGAATTTTGCAATTTATTCTCAAAGTTGGTAGTGATGTCAGTGATGGTAAATGTACTAAAGTCAAAACTGATTTTTTAAACATCAGTGCTACCAACTATTGAAAAATTTCCAATTTCAATTTAAAAAAACAGAGGTTTTATAATATGAAGCCCAATAAGTTGTTTTACGCAAAATCCGTTTTTTTTTTCAAAATTTTGGTTGTTCGAATCCGGATCAAGGCATTTTTTTTTCTGTTTTTAAGACTACAAAAATAATTCTATAAAAAAATGATCAAAACATTGTCGGTTTGAGTTTAGTTTGGCAATTTAGCGCACTTGATACAATATTAGAAAAATTTATACAAAAAACGCAAGTTCGAATCCGGGTCGTGCCAACTTTTTTTTAATTTTTTTTTCAAAAGTAGCAAAATAATTCTAATAAAATTGATTACAGTGGTGTAATTAATCACCAGACTAGAGATTGAAGCAATTTGTTCAAAATTTGGAGGTTCGAATCCGGAGCAAGCCAATTTTTTTTTCCTATTTTTAATAAAAATAATTTTATTAAAAATAATCTTGATTTGACTTTAGTTTGCTAATTTAGAACATCTGATACAAAATTCGAAAAATTTATACAAAAATTGCAAGTTCGAATCCGGGTCGCGACAATTTTTTTTGGTTTTAAAATAATAAAAATATGCAAAGCTGTCACAGTAGCCCATGATTTTGTCTCTATTTTATTTTCTGTCTATATCACAGATCAGATTTTAAAATAGTAGTGATGAAATTTCAAACTTAGTACAGGGCAATTTATTTTTTAACAGTTGGTAGCGATGTCAGTTATGGTAAGTCAAAGTGATTTTTAAAACATCAGTGCTACCAACTATTGAAAAATTTTCAATTTTAAAAACAGAAGTTATTTTTGTTAGGTTTTTTAT